ACGGACGGTATAGGCAAGCAGTACGCTCTACAGTTGGCCGCGCAAGGCCTTAACATCGTGCTCATCGGTCGTTCGCCGGAGAAGCTGAAGGCGACCGATAGCGAGGTGTGCATGCGCAGCAACGTGCAGGTGAAGACGGTCGTCGTCGACTACAGCGGCGGACAGGAGATCTACGATGACGTCGAGCGAGAGTTGGCGGGACTAGAGATCGGCGTGCTGGTGAACAACGTCGGCATGAACTACGCGTCGAATTTCGACGACTTCCTGGGCGTGGAGAGAGCCGTGCATCTGCGCATGCTCAACGTGAACATGATGTCCGCCGTCGCGATGACGTACATCGTTCTGCCCCAGGTGAGAGAGGGTAGAGGGTAAGGAGGGGAGGAGAGGGGGGATGGGACGGGAGAGGAGGGAGGAGAAGGGGAGAGGGGAGGGGAAAAGAGGAGAGGGGGAGGGGTGAGGAATTGAGGAGCGTGGAAGACAGAGGTAGAGATGGAGGAACAGGAAAGCGAGATGGGGAGAAAGAAGAATGGAAGACGGGAGAGAAGCGGGAAGGGGCAAGGGGGGGAGGGTGGCATAACGGTGAGAGAGAGACGTTTATCTACGCTGCTGGCTTTCCATTTCGCTACTGACGTTGGCGCAGCACCAACACCTTTCATGCCTAGCACATACTTGCGTTGGCGCTGGCTCAACACCAACTACAGTACCGTCTACTTACCTTCAATAGCTTATAGGCTTCAGGCTTCAAGGCTTCAAGGCTTCAGTTTCTTCGTTGTCGTCTTCCGAAAAGAAATCGATGAGGCGATTGCTTGTTACAAAGAACCAACCACTCTCAAACGCCTGTTGCTGTTAGTGTTACTTGGTCTACATATCACCATGCATCAAATAAATTTTGTGTTCCAATTGAATCGTAAACTCCATCGAGGTTTTCCATATAGTTAATTGTTTGTGATAAACTTGCTGATGGTGATGCTAGACCCTTTTGGAGATTCGTGAAATGTTAGAAACATGAAACTGGTGTCCCATCCCTTCTCCGTATTGGTCACAGCCCGGCACTGTATTTACCACCAAAGTTTCAATGTGTATATATTTTCTATCGACTAATAATCCCACGTAAATGCCGTTCAAATTCTTATTTCCAACACACAACTTCACAGCATGCATACCAGTGCACTTGTGCACGAACTCGCGGAAAGATGTGCTTTCTGCGAGTTTGTGCACAGTGGCGTGCGTGCGGTGAAATTGTGTGTTGCAGATGAGCGTCTGAACTGCATTTACGGTATGTGCGTGAGTGCATGTGTGCTTCCGTGTGTGAAGTTGCGCAAAACCACTTTCCAGCCAAGGGCTACAGACCGAGGGTGTTTCTTATTTATTAATTTAAAAGCAAAAGGATGGTAATATCTTATAAACGACATATAGTTTCAGTTATAATATGGATAAATTTGCCCTAAAATAAATATCGTTCAGTTAAATAGCATTTAGGTATAAATATAATTGCACTTTTGTGATTAGCCCTCGGTCTGTAACCTGCAAAATAAATTGTCAACTACGCAACTTTTTCGCGGTGGCAGCACGGTCGCGGGTGTCATGGCGCCGTTCAAATTTCGTAGCGTTGATGTGTAAATAATTATAACAATTAAATTAGGTATCTGGTAACAAATACGTGTGGGTATAGACGATTTGTTATACAGTAAGTACAGTTGTATGCAGTAAAATCCTAGAGGCTACTGTCCCTTTAACAATAACGCATGTGCATATTTTGAAGGTTCATGAGGTTGCACGTCTGCCAAATTTTCTTTGGGCATTTTAATAAGTACTGAAACATTCCGCGAGGCCGTGCTCTGGAACGAACTAGTTAGTATAGCAGAATTTTCAGGGAGTCATGCGGACTCCTGCATATGTCACATCAGGGAGTCCGACAGTAAATCAGGGAGTATTTGACTCCGAACTCCCGTTAATTTCACACCCTGTATGTGTACCGGTATGTATTTTCCTGCAAGCAGATGTGTAAATGTGGCAAATGCAGATTATATAACACAGCAATTAGTTCTAGAACTATAGCCCTTCGCCTCGCCACAGGCCTGTGGCCCGGAGGTGGGGGGGACTCACCCCACATTATGGTAGGTATGTGCCACTGCAAAGTAAATGAAAGTGTCAATCACACTGTAGCTCACCACAAAAAAGGACACAAATAAGTGAGTGAGAAGAAGTCAGTTTTAATTGAGCAACCATCGACGTACATTATAGAAACGAAGAGTATATATGGGAGAACTCCAATTATATACTCTTGATAATTATATGTGTAATTTTTTATGTGAAAATAAACGTTTGAGATGTGAAAGTCTGAGATGTGGGCGAGTGATGGTGTTACACCTAAATGATCGCCATTTAACGTTTTTATAATATTCAGATTTAGGCACTGCCTAAAAGCGGAGCTCCCGATGTGTAACGTGTAAGGGCCGGACTAAGCGTGTGGGGGGCCTGGGGCACGCAATTGTGTGGGG